ATGACACCAAAAATATGAAATTTGATGGAAAACTTATGGAATTATGCTCTCGTGAAGTTAGCGGTCTTGACGATGTTTACGCATCGGCGATTTTGCCCACTTTGAGCCCTATTTTCGGCCAATTCCAATGTAGTAGTTGACAAAAATCATAACTATTTCGTTAGAACTCCATTTTTTCTATTGAATGAGTACAAGAAACCACCAATTTACCAGTTTCAACTATCCAATACAGTGGTCAGAATTTAGCAATTTTGCCAATTTCACACAAATTTCAAAAGATGCCAATTTCCAAATAAGGTCCAGAATAAACAAGAAAGACATTCCTGGCACTAAAATAACATTTCCTCTGTTCATTAGTCACGTTCCCAGGCCCCTCTTAACATTTTTTTTGCTTTCCACTTTGAATTTTTATTCTCACAAAAAAATAAGATTTACTGTTATGCAGACTACTGCATTAGTGTAGAAATGGTATAAATAATATCGGCGCACTTGTGAAAAAATATTAAACTCACTAGTTGACGTGTATTGGACGCTTAGCATGATCTGTTTACTTTTGAACTTTGGTAAAAATCGAACATTTCTGCTAATTTGAGCTCAATTTCAAGATACTTTTCATTGTAAAAGCAGTCAAAATCATCTCAATTTCTGTAATATGTCTTCCATTCTATACAATGAGACCAGGAAAACTAGAATATAACAATAAATACCATACGAAAATATAGTGCAAAGTCTCTGTTTTAATCCAAAAACACGGTCAAAGTTTTTTTTTTCTCATTACGCACTGTGTGCTGCAGGATTTTTTTATACTGTGCACAATGACCACATAGACCCATTCTTTCATATGTAGGCCTACCAGCTTTCTCTCACTAGATTTGAAGGCGCAAGAATTTATGCGTACTAGTACGTCATGGACACTGGTGCGTAAGCTGTACTAGTACGTCCGAAACCCTGAAAGGGTTAAAGTTGGAGCTGTCTGATATCATTTCCAATTTTGTTCAAATGTGGCTAGGTTTGATTTTGCATAGTTTAAACAATAATAGCAGCAGCAGTAGCAGAACAAAATTCTGTTATTGTGATTAATGTACATGAATTAGTATTATAATTATATTTTCATGGGAAGAGCACTAAACCCATAAGGGGGTTATGTAAGTGCCTAGAAGAATGGGAAACAATCGGGCTTGATCAAAGGAAGAAGTTAGGTGCAATATCTTGAATCAAGAGCCCCTCACTGTCATATTACAGGTACAAGCAAAATATATTATAGTATAATCAAAACAATTCAAGTCCAAACCACATCTGTAACTTGTTCCAGATCACAGTCTATAAGGCACAGAAAATTTTAACAAAATGGCTAAAATAGGAGATACCAGACTCTTAATCCCACATTAGATTGCTCAATCCCTCTACCACGATAAAAATGACCCATTGTTGGAGGGTCGTCTTCCTTCAAAAAAATGTAACATTTAAGTAGAGCAAGCTACTCTTTTAAAGTTGCAAGTTTTTGTAAATGCAATTCCAATGAGTCTTGACATTTCATACTCGAAGGTAACTGCAGCTTTCATGTAGTGCCAATTAACCCTTTCACTGTCAGTCCCATAATATTACAGCTTGCAAGCATCTCGGTCCCTTAATAATACATATTGTCGGTAATTCTACCAACTTTATTACAATCCGGCTTATATACTGCAGTCAGGTGAGTTGGAGGAGGAGGAGGCGGGATCACAGTGGGACCTGCCACTAGTGTAAGTAGGTCTTCGTCCAAAGGTGTTAAAGAATTCTTTGTAAATTCTAGCAACTTCAAATCTTGCAGGAGAAAGCTTGTAGGCCTACATATGAGAGAATGGGTCTGAGTGGTCAGTGTGCACAGTGCATAATGAGAAAAAAAAAATACGACCATGTTTTTCCTTTAAAATGGCTACTTTGTGGTGTATTTTCGTATGGTATTTATGGTTGTATTCTCATTTTCTTGGTTTTATTTGATAGAATGGAAGATATACATGTATTAGAGAATTAGAGATGAATTTGAATGGTTTATGAACTAAAAGTACATCAAAATTGAGCTCAAAGTAGAGGAAATATTCGATTCTTGCCGATGTTCAAGAGTAAACAAATCACATCAAGCGTCCAATCCATATCAACTGGTGGGTCTCATATGCTTTCACAAATGCGCTGATATTATTTATACCAATTTTACAATAATGCAGTAGTCTGCATAACAGTAAATCATCTATGTTTTGTGTGAATAAAAATTCAAAATGGAAAGCAAGTGTAATATAAGAGGGGCCTGGGGACATGACTAAAGAAGAGAGAAAATGTTATTTTAGTGCTAGGAATGTTTGCTTTGTTAAATTCTGAACCCTATTTTAAAATTGGCCTTCCTTGAATTGTGTACAAAAATGACCAAATTTCCAATTTCTGATCACTTTACTGGGTAGTTGAAATCAGTATATGGGCGGTATCTTGTACTCAATCGATAGAACAAAAGGAGTTCTAGCGAAATGGCTATAAGTTTAGTCGACTGGAACAATGGAAATGGCCGAAAGTAGGGCTCAAAGTGTGCAAAATCACCGATGTGTAAATATTACCAAGATCGCTAACTTCGTGAGAGCGTAATTCTGAAGGTTTTCCATCAAATTTCGTACTTTTGGTGTCATTATCATCGGGAAAAGATTCTTTATCATTTCATAAAATAATTTTTTTTTTTCAAATTTCTTTGACACTGAGAGCAAGTTTGAGAGCAGGGGTCTCAACAGTGAAAAGGTTGAAGATGCTGAACAGTTATGGCAACACAGTACAGTATTTGATTATGTGGATATTCATCATAAAATAATTAAGAAACTGAAAATGAACTGTAAATATTCTTTGTATTTTTTTTTCCAACAAACTGGCCATATCCCACCAAAGCAGGGTGACCTTAAAAGAAAAACGAAATTTAAAAAGAAAAACGAAAGTTTTTCTTTTTAAATTTATTAATTTATACAGGAGAAGGGGTTACTAGCTCCTTGCTCCCGGTATTTCAGTCACCTTTTATGACACACACAGCTTTTGGAGTTGACGTGTCAGCGGATGGGTTTATGACAGATAAGGTTAACAATAGAACTGATGAAGAAAAAAAGGCGTGAGGTGCGTTGAGGTATATGTAGAGAAAAAAAAAAGTTATCTATGGAGGCAAAGAAGGGAATGTATGAAAGTACACCTACCATCCGACTTACAACTGAGCTTGGTTCAGACTAACCGGTCGTAAGTCAAAACATATGCAAGTCGAACCTTAGTAATGAATATCAGCATCACATTATGTAATGATTTTATTTTATTGTTTTATTTTGGTATTTCATTTTTTACTTTACTTTTTATGCTGTTAGTACTGTATGATTTAAGAGAAACACTGTGTACAAAACAAACAGTTTTTATTTCCAAGAACACTTGCATACAAAACATGGTCGTAAGTCGAGTGGTTGTATGTTGAGCAGGTCGTAAGTTGGATGGTAGGTGAATAGTGGTACCAACACTCTTATATGGGTGTGAAGCTTGGGTTATAAATGCTGCAGCAATAAGGCAGTTGGAGGCAGTGGAAAAAATATGCAGAGAATTCGGAGTGTGGAAATTAGGAGAAGGTGTGGAGTTAATAAAAGTATTAGTCATAGGGCTGAAGAAGAGTTGTTGAGGTGGTTTGGGCATTTAGAAAGAATGGAATAAAGCAGAATGACTTGGAGAGTGTATAAATCTGTAGGGGAAGGAAGGTGGGGTAGGGGTCGTCCTCCATAAGGTTGGAGGAAGGGGGTAAAGGAGGTTTTGTGGGTGAGGGACTTCCAGCAAGCATATGTGAGCATGTTAGATAGGAGTGAATGGAGACGAATGGTTTTTGGGACCTGACGAGCTGTTGAAGTGTGAGTAGGGTAATATTTAGTGAAGGGATTCAGGAAAACCGGTTATTTTTATACAGCCAGAATTGAGTACTGGAAATGGGAAAGTACAATGTCTGCATTTTAAAGGAGAGGTTTGGGATATTGGCAGTTTGGAGGGTATGTTATATATCTTCATATGTATATGCTACTAAACTGTTGTATCTGGGTGCCTCTGCAAAGACAGTGATTATGTATGAGTGAGGTGAAAGTGTTGAATAATGATGAAAGTATTTTCTTTTGGAGATTTTCTTTCTTTTTGGGTCACCCTGCCTCGGTGGGAGATGGCCGACTTGTTGGTTAAAAAAAAAATGGGGTTCGGATTAAGAATTATTTTCCACTTCCCCATGGAGATAAGAGGAAATAAAGAAGAAAAAACTATTAAGAAAATAGAATAAAACTCAGATGAGTGTGTATATGTAAGCATGTGTAGTGTGACCTAACTGTAAGTAGAAGTAGCAAGACATACCTGTTATCCCATGTGTTCATGAGACAAGAAGAAAAAAAAAAAACAGGATTATCATTATGGAGGTGCTAAACCCATGGGATTCGTATGTCTGGGAAATAGAAAAAGCAATTATGCTTGATGAAAAGAAAAACAAGGCCAATGCCTTGGATCAAAAGCTCTATACTGGCATCAAGGCATTTTTCTTGAGGGAACTCTGTATTAATTAAAACCACAATATATTTTGCTGGAAATTCTGGATAGCGAATATAACATTGTATTATACAGTATTCACAAAAAAAAAAAAAAGGTTGCTGAACCCACGTGGGCAACTCAGTACTGTACTTACAGGCAACTGCAAATCTTTAAACGAAACTTTGATAAAAGCAGTAAATGTTTTCAATGACACCATGTTCTGTTCACATACTCACAAATTTTGTTTGGTTTATGATCTATCAACTGTATGAATTCCTAAATTAGGGGTTAAACATGTTAAGTATATCTGCAGAGATATGCTTCTTGCATATAATCATATGCTCAACCATAATTATTCAATATTAACTAGATGGCAAGAAGCAGGAAATTTGTTACTAACATAAAAACTAAGAATAATGAGGAAATTCAAATGAGGAAAGAGCATCAAACAGGCCAGCCTCTTAGACATTCATTTAATGGAATAAATACATAACTTTTGAAACCTGTTTATATGTCCAATGGTAGTGAGTGTACAAAGGAGTCTGAGGAAGAGAGAGACCAGAAAACAAAGTAGAATACCATTAATGGAAGAGAGCATGGAAAGAATATGAAGATGAAAGATGGCAGGCAGATGGATTTGTTGACACCTCAATCCCACTTCACAACTTTATTTTGTATACATTCACCCCCCTCCCCCTCCAAGCCTCAAGATTGTGTTTAAATGCCATCAATAATTACATTTCCAGAAATAAATCCTTGGATTTACAAAAGGTACCTAAATTGAGAATATAATCTAGCCTAAGCCTTTCTCCACTGGACATTCAATTTGTTTTACACCAAGAGACACCCATCTTGTAGGTGTTTATGTTAAATTATTCTTGTATATTAAGATGCAGAGATTAAAGGCATCTAAACTCTAGATCACCATAAGTTTTTTCAGAAAGTATCTAGTTTATTGGCTGGATTTTAATGTCTGGCATCTTTGAAGAAACTGCTTATAAATGGCACTTAGGCTCATTAATACATAGGTGGCAAATTCTCTCAAGGTGCTTGTTATTTCCTTGATTTCATCCCCAATATGAGGTTTAATTATTAAATCCTTACAACTCAAGTCTAAAGATAGCCTAAACAGTAAAAAAAAAAAAAATTATTAAAAACTTGAAATATCAAGTATCTTTTGATGCCCAATAGCACATTATGAACAGAAATGTTATATTTTTATACTAATGAAATTAGAAGACAAAACAGCATTTCACATACATACATACATACCAGTACACACACACACATGCATACACACACACACAGGTAAAAATGCCATTAAGTCCTCATGGTGTAATGCTAGTCAACTCAGTCCTGCAAGAGAATTTTCATAACTGAATTAGTTTGACAGCTAACACCTTCATTCACATAATGATTCATAAAAAACTCGACTATCACCAAGCCTGTCGATGGATATCTCTAAACTGTTGAATGTTAGTTAGGTTCAAAATTCAATGTATCATTTTTCACTAAGTCAAAATTTAGTTTAGTTTAGTTTTAAGTTTGAATATAATACTGACAAGGATGGCTATCACAAATGCATTACTTGACTACCACCTATGAATTAATACCTCTGCCTGCAAGAAATAATTTTTAAAATACAAATGAGCAACAGAAGTACTCTCCATCCAGAATTTACTTAAGTGAAATAAAAGAGAATGAAAGTTAAGAGGATAACACAATTTCATCATTTATAAATTGTGGGAATAGCTCAGCATCGACCACACAGGCAAGTCTGACTGCGCCGGGACCAAGCAGATAAGCAGGTCATCACTCTTAAATTATTTTTGTCCATTTCCAAGTTTTTTGGGCATTCATTGTCTCCAGGTTAACAAAGTACAGTACTTCTGAATGCTAGCAAGCTGCCTCGTCAAGCATCCAATTTCATTAAATAGAGATATCCCAGTGACACTCTTATTTAACCATGAATATCACATTGTTTTTTGTTTGTTTTTTTGTTGTATGGATCCAATCACTATTAAAAGTTTCAATCGTTTCCACTGGTAACAATAGCTAGAAGCAGCAGTTAATAGTAACCTGCCGAATGGAGTACCCAGCAAACTGATTGTTTCTTATTCCAGGTTAATCTCAGCGCTCGTGGCAACGGTCAGAAGCTACAGTTGCACGTTTGCCGTTCCCAGCAATATGAGGGTGAAAAGAGCATCTGCAGAGAGAGCATGGGAATAAGGAGAGCGGATGTGGACTGGATGATCCTTAGGCTCATGTGATCCTTTTCCCTCACCCTTCATGGCCGCACATCTGTATCTCTTATAAAGGAAGGTTTCACAGCCTTGGCTATGCTCCAGTATATAACCTACTCTTCATGCCACATATGAGTAGATTTTCCTGTAAGAAAAAGACATTCATGAGCAAAAATATAGAAAACAATAAGTTTTTAAAAATCTTTTAAGGTTTAATATTTGTCAAATATAGCTAACTGACCTATCTTCTGGAGTGCGGGCCAAATATTCTCGCTCAATGAGGCTTTCAATTCTTTTCTTGATAAGTATTGGGGACGGTAAGAAGCGGGACTTGAGCTGATCTGTTACTTCAGCCACCAAGTTATTATGCTGAAGAAAGGTAAAGACCATAAATTAAACAAGAGAAATGACCAATATTTCAGCTTTCTCATAACAATTTCAAGTATTCACGAAAATTTATACAATAACAAAGTTCTGCCAAAGGAGGAGAAGCAAATTAAATTTACTAACTGTCATTCGCCGGCGGGCCTTCATGATCCTGACAATAGCAGCCTCAATTTCATGTTTTCGATCTTCATCAACTTTACTTCGGGTCTCTTTCCTCTCTGGTTCACTCTCACCCTTAGCCGCCACAGCTTGAATCTTAACTCTGCAAATAAAAACTTTTAACTAAATGAAAGAAGTCTTTGCTCCTATTTGTTACCTTTCTTTGTTTTTCAACAAATCGGCCGTATCCCACCAAGGTAGGGTGACCAAAAAAGAAAAACTAAAGTTTTTCTTTTTAAATTCAGTAATTTAGACAGGAGGGGTTATTAGCACCTTGCTCCCTATTTGTCACATACTTCTTAAAAATAAAATGCAAAATTGCCATGTATAGACTTCCTGTATACCTCTGATGAAGCACATCAACATATTTTAAATGTGCTCAATTACCTATACCCCACTTGTCAACACTATATAAAACAATGTTCCTCTCATAATGGGCTTCCACTGCTGCACATAATCTAGCATCATACTTGTGACTGTATCTCCTGTAGAATGCCTATCTTGCTGCAACTTGCCATATACAAATATTTTTTTACCTTCATTACAACAAAATGTTTTAACCATCCACATTAATTTTAATTTTAATTACTGGGAAACACTAAACCCATCAGGGGTCACACAGTGCTAAGGCGACATTCAGGTTCAATCCACAGAAGGGGAGGATAAGTCCACTTCCTTGGATCAAGAGCCCCTCAGTGGCATCACCCCCCCCTGAGGGGGTCTAGTAGCCACAGCTTTGCTAAATATTATACCCAGGCTCTTATGTATATTTACTAGTTCTAATCAATATCTTTCCAGATTGTATTAATGTTGGTAGAATTATTGACATTAAGTGAGGATAGACTGTATTGGTCTTTTCTGAAATTTAATGCAATCACTTTATACTCTCACCCCCTTTCTTAAAACCACCTTGATCTTCTGCAATATACTGTCTTTTTCCAAATACTCTTTTGAAAACAATTCTGTCATTCACTTGGCCTGGTTTACTCCACTGATTTATTACCTTTTAATTCTTAAAAAATTTCACATGATTGATGTCAAGCCTATTTGTACTTTGAAATTGCCAGTAAGTTTTTTTTTAAGACAATCTAAATGTACTAACTAATTACAGTAGCTGTCTGGAAAGATACTGTAAAGTAAAAGGACACAAGTACAACTAATGTGACATTTTATTGTGGCAACGTTTTGCTCTCCAGGAGCTTTATCAAGCCGTTACAAACTATGCATGGACACACAGGGTATATATATAGGCACTAGTATTACACCTCCCTCTGAGCCTACATATACATCCTCTGTGTCCATGTATTGTTTGTAATGGCTTGATAAAGCTCCTGGAGAGCGAAACGTTGCCACAATAAAATGTCACATTAGTTGCACTTGTGTCCTTTTACTTTACAATATCTTTCCAGACAGCTACTGTAATTAGTACATTTAGATTGTCTTAAAAAAAAACTTACTGGCAATTTCAAAGTACAAATAGGCTTGACATCAAGCATGTGAAATTTTTTAAGAATTACAAGGTAATAAATCAGCGGAGTAAACCAGGCCAAGTGAATGACAGAATTGTTTTCAAAATAGTATTTGGAAAAAGACAGTATGATTGCAGAAGATCAAGGTGGTTTTAAGAAAGGGGGTGAGAGTATAAAGTGATTGCATTAAATTTCAGAAAAGACCAATACAGCCTATGCTCACTTAGCGACGTACTCGTTTACCGACCACTCGGACTTACGACTAGCTCTCCAACCAGTATGCAAACCTTAATACTGAATATTTAACAGAGCTGATTTCCTCTATTCTGTTTATTACAGTATACAGTACATTACTACTACTACTTCTTTCAATAAACCAGCTGTATCCCACTGAGGCAGGGTGGCCCAAAAAGAAAAACAACTTTTTTTAAATTTAGCAATTTATACAGGAGAAGGGGCTACTAGTCCCTTGCTCCCGGCATTTTAGTTGCCTTTTACAACACGCATGGCTTATGGAGAAAGAATTCTGTTCCATTTTCCATTGGAGATAAGAGGAAATAAACAAGAACAAGAACCAATCCACTCAGGGAGGTACTACTGTCCTACCAAGTGAGTGTAAAACAGAAGTCTGTACTTGTTTTATGTAATCAGTCCATCACCCTTGAAGACGTCTTCAAGGGTGATGGACTGATTACATCGTCCTCACATCTCTTCTGCTTCTACCAACTTTTCTGTACTTGGCCGAAGAAGCCTACTGTGTAGGCGAAACATTTCGAAATAAAGATACTGTTGTATATGCGTTTTACCTAACAACCTGTCAGTATTTTATAACACTTTAATATTCAAGAACTATTAATAGAAGAAAACCCAGAGAGGTGTGTATATATATGCTTGTACACGTATGTGAAGTGTGACTTAAGTGAAGTAGAAGTAGAAAGACATACCTAAAATCTTGCATGTTTATGAGACAGAGAAAAGACACCAGCAATCCTACCATCATGCAAAACAAGTACAAGCTTTCGTAATGCACTCACTTGGCAGGACAGTAGTACCTTCTTGAGATTAATTTAGGGAATGTGTAGACAAAAAGAATATTTTCCAATAAAATAGGTCTTACACAGGAATGCATGGTACAGTATCGCCATGATTGTTTTATATATTTTTAGATGAGACTATATACAGCCTCTCCTTACTTAACGACAGAGTTCCGTTCCTAAGACCACGTCATTAAACAAATTTGTCGCTAAGTGAGGAGCATATTATAATGGTAGTGGGTTTGTGTCAACCATCTTTGATATTTGTAGATGAATGGTTCATAGAACCGACATGTTGATAAATTATACACGTGTCTAATTTATCAACATGTCGGTTCTATGAACCATTCATCTACAAACCTGTCAGACACTGCAACTTCTTGGGATCTTAATACTTGGGAATTCTTCGCTTGCCTAATTCTTGGGCACGACCTAATTCCACATTGAACAAATGTGACACCGCCTATGACTGCTGCACCTCTCCTACCAACGGTTTATAAGCTCCTTCTCCGCACATATGCCGTATTCTATTCAAGATTGATGGACTGACCACATCGACTCAAGGTTGAGGGACTGATTACCTCATTCTACTCCTGTTCTTCAAGATTCTCCTTTGTATGGACTGATGAAGCCACTGTGTGGCGAAACGTTTCCTCAATAAAGATACCCAAGAGTTGCACATGTGTCTAATTCATCTTTGATATTGTTTGAATGTCACTTTTGCACCATTTATAACATTTCTGGTATATTTTTAAATGTTTATACAGTTGTGTACTGAATATTGAAATAAACAGAATAGAGGAAATCAGCTCTAATATACAGTGGAACCTGTGCTTGCAAGCGCATCCATGTGCGAGTTTTTCCAAATACGAGCAGTTGATGGGTTGACTTTTTGCTTCCATACGCGAACAAAATTTCCATAAGCAAGCAGACCTCAAGGCAGGTTCCTTGATGCTGGTAAGGGACTCTTGCTCTTGATCTAGGGAATTGTATCTCATTTGTTTGTTGGACTATCTTACTGAAACTTGGGCAATGTATGATGGAAAGATGCTTCTTAACGTACACCAAAAATGAAAGAAATCGGAGCATAAATAATGGAGTTCACTTCTCAGCAATTAGCCACCCCTTTTAAGATATTTTTTGTATGGTTTTTATGGTTGTATTCTCATTTTTTTGTCTCATTTGATAGAATGGAAGATATATTACAGAAATGGATATGATTTTGATTGCTTTCACGATGAAAAGTACCTTGAAATTGAGCTCAACGAGGGAGAAATGCTAGTTTGCTTGACTATGTTCAAGAGTAAACATATGACGTCACTGTACATTCCAATATGCAGTCGTGAATGGGTTGACATTATTTATACAATTATTGCAATAAGGCATAACAGTAAATCTTATATTTTTTGTGTGAATAAAAATTACAAATTATTTATACTGAATAATAATAATAAAAATAATAATAATAATAATAATAATAATAATATACGTATAATAATAATAATCCTAGGTAGTAGGTTGGTAGACAGCAACCGCCCAGGGAGGTACTACCGTCCTGCCAAGTGAGTGTAAAACGAAAGCCTGTAATTGTTTTACATGATGGTAGGATTGCTGGTGTCCTTTTTTCTGTCTCATGAACATGCAAAATTTCAGGTACGTCTTGCTACTTCTACTTACACTCAGGTCACACTACACATACATGTACAAGCGTATATATACATACCCCTCTGGGTTTTCTTCTATTTTCTTTCTAGTTCTTGTTCTTGTTTATTTCCTCTTATCTCCATGGGGAAGTGGAACAGAATTCTTCCTCCGTAGGCCATGCGTGTTGTAAGAGGCGACTAAAATGCCGGGAGCAAGGGGCTAGTAACACCTTCTCCTGTATATATTACTAAATTTGAAAGGAGAAACTTTGGTTTTTTCTTTTGGGCCACCCCGCCTCGGTGGGATACGGCCGGTGTGTTGAAAGAAAGAATAATAATAATACGTATAATAACAGTATAATACAATACAATAATAATATACGTATAATAATAACATATATATAATAATAATGTACTACATAATAATAATTATAATAACAGACGGCTTCAAAAGGCCATCACTTGATGGCAGTGTTTACCACAGCAAAGAGGGAGCAGTTGTGGCCGCCTCCTCCTGTTACATAATGACATATTTTATTCATTCTAGAGTATATATCAAGTTTCTATGTTATTTATATTGTTTATTATTTCATATTAGATGAACTGTGATAGATAAATAAGCCGTAGAGCTGATGATAGTGAAATATTCAAGGAGTATTTTATCCTGTCTCCAGACAAACTCTCGTCGTCGGCCGCTGCCACCGCCACACATATAATGACGTATTTTATTCATTCTAGAGTATATATCAGGTTTCTATGATATTTATATTATTTGTTATGCCATATTAGATGAACTGTGATAGATTAATAAGCCGTATAGATGATATTAACGAAATTATTCAAGAAGTATTTTGTCCGGTGTCCAGACAAACTGTCGTCCACCGCCAACACCGCCCATACTGCTACATGAATTACATATTTTATTCATTTTAGATTATATATCAAGTTTCTATGTTATTTATATTGTTTATTATGTCATATTAGATCAAGTGAGATAGATAAATAAGCCGTAAAGTTGATATTAGCGAAATCATTGAAGTACAGAATTCCACTGGAACGGATTAATTGCATTTCAATTAATTTAAATGAGAAAAACTGACTCTGCAAATGAGCAAATCCAGTTGCAAGCAAGGTCATGGAATGGATTAAACTCACAAGCAGAGGTTCCATTGTACATTATTTAGGTATAAATACTGGTCAGAGAGCCTGTCGTAAGTCCAATGTGTCAGTAAACGAGTACGTCACTAAGTGAGGAGAGGCTGTATAGTGAATGCTAGTGTTAGGTATATGTAAGCCCATTAAATATAATGGTGATACTGAATGAGAATTATCAAGGTTATTGTAATTACCTAATATAATTACCTAATCAAGTATGCAAGGTAGGAACGAAGAGATTAGCTGTTGGCCCTACTTTTTAACTTTTAATTGACATTCAGAAGCAAAGTTACAGGAGCTAATGACAGCGTTTGAAAGTGTGTGCTCGCCTATATGTACTCACTTATATGTGGTTGCAGGGGTAGAGTCTTAGCGTCTGGCCCCATTTCTCAATCTGCCACTTACTAGATTCACTTCTTCCTGACCTCATGGGCCCTATTGTACCTGCTCTTAAAGCTATGTATGGAGAATCCTCTACTTCCTCACCAAGATCATTCTACTTTCCAACCACCCTGAGAGTTAAGAAATATTTCCTGACATCCCTTTTGCTCAACTGTCTAACTTTTAGGTGTGTCCCAGAGTTCCCATTTCTCACCTCTTGAACAGCCTATCCCTGTCTACCATATTAATTACCCTGAGTAAAATTTTGTGTGCTACTATTATGTCTTCCCTCCTTCTTCTGTCCTCTAAAACTCATTCTGACAAATCTTGTTTGGGTTTCTGGTCATCATCTTATCACTGGTGCCATGTTTGGGAGACTACTTTCTCTTGCCTATGTATTGGACACACATCTTACTCATGGGTATCTTATGGAGAAAGCTCTGCAATGCTCTGTGAGAATTGTTAATGCCACTGTCAGCCCACCATCTCTTCTCACCCTTGTCTGTTCATTTCCAGTAAATTTGCTCAATTCTTTGCTCTTATCTGTCCTTTGCTTACTATAATTTTTCCATGCTCTTAAGCTTCTCTCTCTCTTTTTTTTTTTTACCTAGGTGTATCTTTAGTTATACCAAGTGTTCTCATCATTCCTATTTCCCATCCTTTATCTAGGTATGAAGTTTTCCTCTGCTTCCTGGCACTTCCCAACTAAGTACAGTTCTTCATCATCTCATCCACAGGCTTTTCCTCCAGCTGTGTGCGAGTGTTATGAGGAGGGAAGAGAGGGGTGTCTGAAGTGAAGTAGAATAAGGAATACAGGAAGGTAAAAATGTAAGGAAGATGAGTATCTAATTTGACTAGCATTTTTATTCCCATTATTTTATTTGTTTGTTATCTGAGTGATCTCAGTACTGCAATCACAACGTACTTTGCTTTTTTATCGAGTGACGGGTCTACCAGCTAAATTTCACCAAGTGTCCCAGTTTTTGGCTTTAAAAAATGGGATCCCTAATAGTATACCACATCAGACAGAGCTGCTACTTTAAGACTGATTTAGTTACATGAATCACAAAAGGAATAACTATACCTGTACAATTTGGATGTGAAAGAATCATTAACAGTAAACTCATGAGAGGACTCCATCTCTTTAGTTTTAGGAGTCTTGAGCAAAACTCTTTGGGCTGGCTTGCCAAGCGCTAGAGACTGTAACGCTCTAACAAGGTCTCTGTCAGGGATGTCTGTTTCATTTTGTATCTCCTGTGAAAGAGAAAAAAAGCCGATTATGATTCCATGTTCACCATTAAAGGAAGAGATAACTCATAGATTCACCTAGTCCTTTAGTGGATTCATAAATAAAAGCCAAAAGATTACTCATTTGGCTACTGCCGGCATAACATTTGAAATTTGAAGCCTATTTAGACCATAACCTAGACACTATACAGTGGACCCCCGCATAACGATTACCTCCAAATGTGACCAATTATGTAAGTGTATTTATGTAAGTGCGTTTGTACGTGTATGTTTGGGGGTCTGAAATGGACTAATCTACTTCACAATATTCCTTATGGGAAAAAATTCGGTCAGTACTGGCACCTGAACATACTACTGGAATGAAAAAAGTTCGTTAACCGGGGGTTCACTGTATTTAAAATATGCAACAGTGGCACAATTAGCCTTGATGGAGACAATGGCAATATCCTGAGAGATGATGAAAAACACAAATGCAAAGAAGTCCTTTATTTCTATACAGGTTCACCCAATCCTTTTTTTTCAAGTACTTTAGCTTGAAAAGGCCCAGAATTGGGTGAAGCCTCGTACAAATTGAGTTCCTCTACATTTGTATATATTAAATTTTATTTCTTATGCAATAAAAGTTAATGAAAACTGTTGTCATACATTTGTTAGAGGACACACAAAGGTGCCACAGTTTTAATGCAATTATTAACTCAACCACTGTGGATGACATAGAGTTAATTTACATGTCATCTGTTTAAAATTTTAATGCTGTTAACTGTTCAGTTTTTGCATTATTAAAGCCTTATCAATACTTCTCAAATTAAATAAAAAATATTGACAAGTTTCTTTAATACCATGAAAACAGCATTAAAATTTTAAACAGAAGACTTGAGTAAATTGCTTAACTTATACAGTGGACCCCCGCCTTACGATCAGCTCCCAACTCGAACAATTATGTAAGTGCTTTTGTACGTGTATTTTTGGAGGTCTGAAACGGACTAATCTAATTTACAATATTCCTTATGGGAACAAATTCATTTGGTAACGGCACCCGAACAGACTTCTGGAATGAATTAATATTGTAAGTCGGGGGTCCACTGTACTACACTAATTACTCCTCAAAATCAATCCTTGCAAACAGGCGATTTCTTGATGAGAGGCAACACATTGACATGTGAGTATAACGAGAATATGAAGACCAATTTTCCACTGGGGCTGTTTTACTCAGGGTTGGGCTTCATCGAGTCTTGCAGAAGATACTTTTATGCACATTTATATACTCAGAGAGTGAGATAAGAGCAATAAAGAAATATGCATCAGATGCTGATGATGCAGACACCAAGCACTGTAGTTGGCCAGAGTCTGGGAGCTTTCAGTGCAGTAAATCCCGTAGTACACTTTATCTCATATGGGACATGTGGCATGCACAGAGTGAAAAGACTGGTGTTCCTGGCATGTGCAGCACATTCAGCTCCTACAAGGTATTCTTCCTGTATTCAATGCATGCCATACAAATCACTATCTACATGTTATCCAAGCCAGCTAGAAGCATAGTTTGCCATAGCCTTCCAGGGTGTTAACCAGGTGCCCTAACATAGATGTGGTTAACTACATACTGTGACTTTGTGACATTTCAATGGAAAAGTTGGTGGCCTGCAAAAGGTTACCTTGCTTCTAGGACCACCTCAGACCACCAGACTCTGATGCTTCAGATCTATCTCTGTATGGGCGAATCATAGCTGTTGTAGCAAAGCTCTCATTTTCACTCTCTTCAAAACTCTACTCATTACTAGGTCCAACTTGTCAATAAACTTTGTACATAGTTGTATATAAGCGTACATACACTCTGGTGTTATGAATATATGTTAAAGCAATATCATACTATTGTGTATATTTCACTCTTCACTTTTGATTGCTCTTTAATTGTGAAAAGAACTTCACTGTGATAGAAAACATCCAGCCTGTAATCAAACTGCAGTGCTCCACCACTCACATTATAACAGCACCCAACATATGATTCCTTGTTCTCATCTCTCTTACCATGTGCAAAAAATAGAATCCCATATACAATTTGATAGGGCACAACCCTGAATGAAATGCATTGCCCAAGAAGCTTTTCCTGTGTGCTGTCTTTATACCCATATGCTTTCTTCAATGAACTTGACATTTTACATTCAATATCCCTTAAAAATCTATTCAAAGTAACCTATGAAAATAAATTCCTTACTTTTATCATATCCATGCCATTTGAATACATCTTTTGCTGGATTAAAAATCCTTCACAATACATTAGTTTTAACTCCCATTGCTATATTAGCTACATTTATTAACTATGTTATGAGACATTGGTCTGCCTACGAGTGAATATTCTTCTACCAAGTGTACAAGTACCTGGTCACTTCAGCGTGGAAGATTCCTTTTAAAAAATACAGCAAGTCCTTGATTTACAAACATATTGAGAATCTTATGTATTGTGTATAAATATCATTAAGAGTGGTGAAGCAATGTAATAAGAGAGCAAATGAGAGTGGGTGGGATATTATCAACAAATTTTGTTGAAAATAAGAAGTTTTGGAGTGAGATTAATAAGTTGAGGAAACCTGGGGAAAGAATGGATTTGACAGTTAAAAACAGGAGAGGAGAGTCATTAAATGGAGAGTTAGAAGTATCGGGAAGATGGAGGGAATATTTTGAGGAAGTGCTAAATGCTGATGAAGATAGGGAAACTGTAATTTCGTGTGTAAGGCAAGGAGGAATAACATCTTATAGGAGTGAGGAAGAGCCAGTTGTGAGTATGGGAGAAGCTCATGAGGCAGTGGGTAAAATGAAAGGTGGTAAAGCAGTTGGGATTGATGGAATAGAGATAGAAATGTTAAAAGCAGGTGGGGATATAGTTTTGGAGTAGTTTGTGCTTTTATTTAATAAATGTATGGAAGAGGGTAAGGTACCTAGGAAGTGGCAGAGAGAGAGCATAGTTCCATTGTATAAAGGCAACGGTGACAAAAGAGTGCAAAAATTATAGGGGAAGAAGTCTGTTGAGTTCTAGGTAGTAGGTTGGTAGACAGCAACCACCCAGGGAGGTACTACCTTCCTGCCAAGTGAGTGTAAAATAGAAACCTGTAATTGTTTTACATGATGGTAGGATTGCTGGTGTCTTTTTTCTGTCTCATAAACGTGCAATATTTCAGGTACATCTTGCTACTTCTACTTACACTTAGGTCACACTACACATACATGTACAAGCATATATATACACATCCCTCTGGGTTTTCGCTATTTTCTTTCTGGTTCTTGTTCTTATTTATTTCCTCTTATTTCCATGGGGAAGTGGAACAGAATTCTTCCTCCGTAAGCCATGCGTATTGTAAGAAGCAACTAAAATGCTGGGGGCAAGGGACTAGTAACCCCTTCTCTTATATAAATTACTAAATTTAAAAAGAGAAACTTTCGTTTTTCTTTTTGGGCCACCCTGCCTCGGTGGGATACGACTGGTTTGTTGAAAGAAAAGAAGTAGAAGTCTGTTGAGTATACCTGGTAAACTGTATTTTTTTTATTATTATTATCACACAGGCCGATTCCCACCAAGGCAGGGTGGCCCGAAAAAGAAAAACTTTCACCATCATTCACTCCATCACTGTCTTGCCAGAAGGGTGCTTTACACTACAGTTTTTAAACTGCAACATTAACACCCCTCCTTCAGAGTGCAGGCACTGTACTTCCCATCTCCAGGACTCAAGTCCGGCCTGCCGGTTTCCCTGAACCCCTTCATAAATGTTACTTTGCTCAGACTCCAACAGCACGTCAAGTATTAAAAACCATTCGTCTCCATTCACTCCTATCAAACACGCTCACACATGCCTGCTGGAAGTCCAAGCCCCTCGCACACAAAACCTCCTTTACCCCCTCCCTCCAACCTTTCCTAGGCCGACCCCTACCCCGCCTTCCTTCCACTACAGACTGATACACTCTTGAAGTCATTCTGTTTCGCTCCATTCTCTCTACATGGCCGAACCACCTCAACAACCCTTCCTCAGCCCTCTGGACAACAGTTTTGGTAATCCCGCACCTCCTCCTAACTTCCAAACTACGAATTCTCTGCATTATATTCACACCACACATTGCCCTCAGACTGTATGGCATAGTTATTATTGAAAGAATTAAGAGTAAGATGGAGAGTAGGATAGCAGATGAACAAACAGGCTTTAGGAAAGGTAGGGGGTGTGTAGACCAAGTGTTTACAGTGAAACATATAGGTGAACAGTATTTAGATAAGGGTAAAGAGGTTTATGTGGCATTTATGGATTTGGAAAAGGTGTATGAAAGGGTGGATAAGGGGGCAATGTGGCAGATGTTGCAAATTTTAGGGAAAAATGGGAGATGGTTTAACAAAAAGCCCCGAAGATTTTTTTCGAGGATGGGTGAGGCGCAGGTTAGAGTATGAAAAGGGGAAAGGGGGGAGTTTATTTCCCGGGAAAAAGAAAGGACCTTAGAAAATGGTGTGTGTTTGTCCCCATGGTTTTCAATAATTTATAGAGGGGTTTGAAAAGGGAAAAGGGAAAATGCTTGGGTTTGGAAATTTTTTTTGGGGGGTTAAAAGTTTAAAAGAATTAAATGAAGTGGGAGTTATCACGTTGCTTTTTGGCTGATGAAAACTTTTTGTTTTGGGAGATTTAAATAGAAGTTACGGGAGGTGGTGGATGAGTTTGGGTAGGGTATGTAAAAAAAAAATGGGGGCACAAGGGGTCTGTGGAAAAGAAATGGAAGCAAAGGGGGGAAGGTATGAGAGTTTTAGTTTTTACCAAGCTCTTATATGGGGGGGTTTAAAATGTTGCAAAAAAAGAGAATGGCAAAAAGGGAGAATGTCTGGGGAAATTGAGTGTGGGTTTTTAATGCAAAAATTATATTTTTTAAAATTGGAGGGGGTGCAAGTTTAACCAAAAAAATTATTGAGAGGGTGGGAGGGGTTTTGGTTGGGTGATCGGACATGTAGGAGAATGGAACAAAACCCGAATGACTTCAAGAGTGTTTAAATCTGTGGTGGGGGGAAAGGGTTGGGGTGGGGGCCCGGGCCGTGGAAAGG